AAATATTATGTACGAGAAATATCGTTATATATAGTTAAAAAAAAATCGTTGTTTAATGACGACCGAATTCGTACGTGTCTCGCAACGCGTTTCGAATTGTTCATCGTTTTAAATGTAATTTGTTCGACATTTTGAGATCGATAACGCAGAGTAATATACGGATTAAATAAATACGTATTAAAAAGACATTTCTTTAAATCCGTTACATTTAAATCCGCGAGAAATCCGAAGCGCGATGTAATATATATTTAAATTAAAACATTTAAAAAATAATTATTACTCGTTATTATCACGAAGCATTAATTTTTAATTCTTATTCGGTTTTAAAAGAATAAATCGTATGAAATTTCTGTTGTAAGTGATCGATGACCACTCATGAATCTTTAAATGCGCGAACTACATAAATCGCGAGATAAACCGGTTATTATAACAATTAAGATATCTAATTGTAAGATACGGGTAAGTCATTAAGCAGTCTACGAGAGAGAAAGCGAAAATAAGGGCCCATTCATCGCGAGGAATATTTAAAACGCAACGGATAGATTATTTTAGCGTTTACTTATTCCGTGATATACGTTGAATATTATTTTGGCACCGAAACTGTATGGGTGGGGGTGAGAGTATGTACGTGGAACGCGGCCTTGTTATCGACACGCAAGGTCGACGCGTTATCACTCGGCCTTAGACACTCGAGCGAGCAGCTAGCGGCGCGCGACGCTCCGCGTATCTTCGCGTTATTTTTCGAAACGTGAGCGCGATAAGAATGAGATGATACCGAACGCCATAAATCTTACAACCGTTACGAAAAATGGTTCTCACCTCGCGCAGTCACAGATTTATGAACAAAACTGTGTTTCGTTTATCAAAATAGACATTTTGCACGATTTACTCATTTGAAATCGAAATAATAAGACACAGGGATTATAATATATTGTTTGGCTAATTAATTAAAACGATTATTAATTCCATAATGATGCTCGAACTCGTACGTGTCTCGCGACGCGAGACTTCGAATTTTTCATCATTTTAAATGTATAATATAATTTACTCGGCATTTGAGATCGATAACGCGGAATAATATAATACGGATTAAATAAATCAATTAATGAAACGCCGTGATAAACTGGCTGTTTAATAATAATGTAACGCGTATTTCTCGAATTGATTCCGATTCGAGCAACATAGCGATCGGTTTAATTTTTGAACGCATTAATCCCTTTGATATTTGAGAAGCACACAGTATAAACTCATTTTTATATCGGTGCTTTTCGTTTCAACAACGTTTCTAGTTTCTATATCGATGACTCGTTGAAACTTTTCGCGATTCGAAATTCGTTGATTCAATTTGTGAAACGTTACAAATATCAGGCGGATTGCAGCTTCCTACAGTCTTTTCGCATCTTTTTCTTATTATTCTATCGTAATAAAACGAAATCATTTAAACGGGAATGCCGTAGAAAGTGTCGCGATTATTTTATTACAATTTGTATCAATAATTGTAATTAACTATATTTTCGCGAGTGTTGTGCTGTGTGTGAATGTAACGATGAAGGATTCTGAGAAGAGGAGGAGGCGTCGGGGGAGACATCGGGTGACGACGGAACAACCACGGAGTGGACAACTTTACCAGGTATTTATTCATGATTTTTTAAGACTATGCGTGATTGCGTGAATAGTACAAATTTGTCAGTTCGCTTGTATTATTTACTATTCGTGCCGATTTGCCGATCGAGCGGTTTCTTCGCGAAATCAAAGGGTGCGAACGTGTCGGTTCTGAATTTGCATAACGATTGTGTTATTCGCGTTTTGAACCGAGATTTTTTCGGATGAATATGTCACGTGAATAAACATAATATTTATAATTCAATTTTCGTGACGTTTTGTGACCATCTAATTTAATAAAAATCCAAATAATTATAAATTACATATATTATTAAAAATACACCATATATAGCATCATATTAATTTTAGTCTAACCATTTATAGCATCTATTTAATAATTCAACATTTTTTATTAATAATTTGATTTCTTTGAAATCTGCGTGTATCAATATAATAGAAAATCTAGATAAATGAAAATAACATGTCACGAAAATGAAGTCACGTTATAAACGCCAGGGGTGGTTCATGGAATATTTTTATGCAATAAAATCCTAATTCAAATCAAATGCAAATTAATTCAGAGGGAGAGAGAGAGAGAGAGAAAAAGAGAGAACTATTGCTTTTTAAATCTTAAATGACAGTACTGTAAGGTACCGACTAGTAGGATAATTACTTTCGAAGATATTTTTCCGCATTGTCCGTTAAACACTACCCTCATCCGCCTATAGCTCGCTCTTAAATTCTTTAATAACCGACAATATTAAATACGAAAAATTTCGAGACGGGAGATATTCGTAGAGCGAATCTGACGAATCTGTCGCGGTGACTGTGCTGAACCGGCCGCTTTGTGCGCGAAATCGAATAGAAGCCGACATTTGTATACGGTGCGCGCGCGCTCGCGCGCGCGAGGGTACGTTTAAAAGTACGACGCTGAGGGATCCGGGCTTCGAGGGTGGGTAGCGATTGAGCTCTCGAGCACTTGAACACGAGCTGAGAAGAAATGCGGGGAGAACAATGGACAGAGGTAACCAGGAGCTGGTGCTGCGTCATCGCGGTGCTTATGGAGCCCGTCCCCGGTTCGTCGCCGGTAACGAGATGCGCTCACGAAGGGGCTCACTCACCTTTCCGTGACCCGTCATGCGGACCCGACCACCCACCGGTTTCCCCAGCGAGATGCACACGGGTCCTCCTCAGCGCCGCATTATCTGACGGTCGTATTAACGTTGACAGCGATATTAAATATCGCGTGTAACGTCCCTCTCGTTTCAGTCGGTCTATTTCTGTTCAACACTAGAACCGCCACCGGTCTTTTTACCAGCGAGAGTGTTCTTCTCTTCCGCTCATCTTAATTCGCTTTACGTGCATACGTAGTATAAGTAAAATCAAAATCGAAAATCTCGTTTCTGTGCTCGTCACGATATTAATTAAAAGCGCTCGTGTTTTTAATTGTGTTCAAAATTGCGGGGAATATTTCTGGGCTAACGGATGTGAACTGCGATTAGTGCTTTCGTATTATAGATGTCAACCTTAAAAATACAGAGGAAGATAATAATACGGATTGTGGCGATTTATATCAAAAATAGGACCGCGATAAAAGAAATTTTTTCGAAGACGATGCGAATCGTGTCTCTGGAAGACGGAGCGTATAATCGAACCTCGGAGAAAACCGAGAAGGAGCGTCTTTCGTCGCACCGCTGCAGTCGTGCCACTTAAAAAAACAATGAAAAAAAAGTGAGAAAAATAAAAAGAATTATCGGCAGCTGCTTGATCTTTCCGCGCGGTCTCGCATCCCGTCTTACAAACGATTCTCGGGCAATGCCTGCTTATTAAACGGTGGCACAGCGTTATTCTCGAATATAGAAGGAGAGAGAGAGAGAGAGAGGGAACGCGAAGCGGGAAGGTAGAAGAAAGCCGCAGGCGGCGTGCACTTGGCTACTTGGCATTTACATCCACCATCCATTTCGCGCAACGGCTCTTCAGCCGAGGCCCCCCTTTACGTTCTTCAAGCTTTAGATGCCTGCGTCCGTGCACGAGTAGTCACGGCGCGTTTTTACGTTAGTCGGCAATGCGCCGTACGCACGCTTCTCTCGTGCGTATTCCTACGCGAGCGCGCGTACATATATGAAATGAGACGGGAACGCGGAGAGAAGAAGAGGAAGGGGAGAGAAAAAGAGCAAAGGGAACGAGGAGGAGAGAGAGAGAGAGAAAGAGACAAAAGGTAGAAGAGGAACTTCGATGTGCGGTCATACGCGATCGCGTGAGGCGAGGGCGCACCTGGACCTTCTTTTCCATGTGCGCCCAAGAGTCCTCACTGCCTTCTACTTCGCGATTCAACCGCCCAACAGGCCGCCTCTAGTTACGCGCACCGAAGTTCCTCTTTCTGCTCACCGTCTCCTTTTTCTTCTTACCTTCTCGTTGCGCGCATCATCGAAATTCGCGAGTATATTGTCGTCGGAATCTGATGGGTATGTTTGCCGCGTGCGGCTCTAACTTCTGTATTCCGCGCATCTTTACGAATTCTCCATAACGTCTTAGTAAAGTTCCGTATGAATATTATACGTATAAGAAATTATGTATGTACTGAAAAAAAAATACTAAAAGTAGACTAAAATTTTATATGAAGATTCTACGAAGTTCACAAAAATTTCCGAGTAAATTCTTAAAGCTCTTAACGCCCCTTCTACGGTCTCCTTCCAAATCAGATTCGCGCAACAATCATGCGAATATAAGCACGTTGAGGCGACTTATATTCGACAATGCAAGCCCCGCCGCGCTCAGAGAGTTCCGGACAATGGAGAGAGGAATCGAGAGAGCGCGGCGTATCTGCGATAAGCGACCGCAACTACTAGCGTAGGGTAGATCTCGGTGCAGATAGAGCTTTAATTCATCAAGGGGACAATAACGAAACCGCGATAACGTCGAACGCCGTGCGAAGAGACGCGTCTTTGTCCTTCCAGCGTATACGCGATTTATAATCCGAAAAATCTATCGGTCCATAAATTCCTAATTAACCGAAAAAGAGTCGCTAAAAAGAATTAAAATATCAAATTATAACGTAAAAACGGACAGTAGGATTCTTCTATCCGTCTAAATACCGAGCGATGTATTTTTCACGAATTTAATTTTCGTTAAATTGTCTGCACAACTTTTTTTTTGAAAAAAATTAATATCGGTAATTATTTAAGTTACCTGAAATTTTTATTTATTTTTATTTTCCAGGCTTATATAAGGCTACATCTTTTTATATCCGTTATTAATTATAAGCAATGGAATTATAAGGAATCTAAAAGATTCCAAATACCTGCTGAGGATTAATATATTAGAACTTGCGATATTGCGAGGAATGTAGGAAAAAGTGTAGGAATTTATGGACAAGTGTAAATAATCATTGCTCAGCCTTCATTAAGGAAATATCGTGTATTTCAATACAGAGTGAGAAATTCCGAATGCCTGTTTGGCTAATCGGTGTCACATCGATGTATCGCTAAATTCCGGCACTGCATTTTGCACGCGCCACTGCGCGCCGCAGTTTCGCATGCGAAATTCAATGCGACGGCGCTTGTACCCCTAATTCAGCCAATATTTCACTGCGTTAACCATTAATATACAATCCACAAATTATACGTTCGTCAACGTACCCGTTCTAATCGCCAGATACGAATAATCCTATCGGTTATAACTACAACCGCGCGACCATAAACGTTCAACCTGATTAAATAAGCGACGAAAAACGTCCGATTGAATTAAATTCAAACGAGATAGGCTTCTACAACTATAAACACAAAAACGATACCTGATGTATCATTATCATGCAATGTACTGTTTATTTTAAAGGTTTATTTAAAAAGATCATAGTAAATAAGAAAACAAAGTATAACTTAATTAATAAAAATATCGTGATCGAATGTATTTTTATACAATTTAATCCGTCATTCTTGACAGCACTAGACTGATCGTTTGTTGCGTAAATTTGGCTCACGTTTTTTTTTCATGTGACGTGGCTTTAATTCGTGATATGAATTATCTTTTACATCATGGATCGTTTTCGACAAGTGTAGCAGATACCTATATATGTATGCTATACCAGGTTTTGCGGGTTTTCTCTCAGTTACGAATTTTCCGATATAATGGAATGTTTTAGAGTGAAAATTTGATAGAAAAAACATAGATATTGCGTGGACACTAAAATTTCCTTTTCTAGTGAATTCGAGTAAATTGTACTTTAATAAAATTGTCATTCCGTTGTCGTGACATCTAAAAAATCAACGATGATGGTTGCCAGGACAAAACTTCGCAGAAAATTTTCTTCGAGGTTTGCCATCAAATTTATAATCAAAAACCTCGTGACTTTCGAGGCATATTGCATGCATATTTAAACACTGATATTTTTTTACACGTCCTCCACAAAATTAGAAATAAAAATATTTCTGAAAATTATGTCATCACGTTAGAAAAGACATCGGGACACGTATTACTGAACTTTTCGGAATGGATTCCGATCGGAATTATTCCGCTTTTCTCTAGAAAACACAAAGGAAATCCAGAAAATAAACAATCCTAATCGGAATCCATTCCGAAAAGTTCCGTAATACCGTGTCCTGCAGCATTCGGAATGTAGTACTCAAAAAACGCGGTGCTCGAGAACGCTGCCGCCGATAATCGCGCTTTTATTGCACCGAGTACTCCGACCTGCCTCTCTCTCTGTACTGCTTACGAATTAACGCACTCTCTTTTAGAACGCGTACTTTGACAATGATCCTTAAATCTTAATTAGACATAATTATGCGTGGTGATTCTTTGCAGAATTCATTCTTATAACTATTATGTGACGTGCGACAAAATTAGTCGACCTCTTACTTGAACGTCTACATCGATCGTCGCCATGCATCTCGGTGGCCTCCTCCACCTCCTCCTCGAGTCGACGAGTAATTCTATAACATGAGATAAGCAACATCTCGACTAAAGCTATCGTGCTATTTTAATAGTGCTACAGTTTTCTTTATTCTACAAAACGATTTTCAAACTTTCTTTATCTTTTTGAATTCAAAGTCACATTTACAATAAATTCACAATTAGTCAATTAACAATAAAATTAGAAAAATATCGAAAAACAATTTAGATTAAATGATGAAACGAGGGTAAAGATTAATTTCGATCTCTTTTTCCCCGATTTTATCATACGTTAACTCTTAACTTCAATTTTCCAATCCATATTTGATTTGATATTTTTTACTTAATTTAGCGAGCATATTATCTGACCTCCATCAAGAATTCTCTTTTTGATAGCTCGCGTATTGGGATGTGATAAAAATTAAAAAACCATACCCCTCGTTGACTGTGGTAGCCATGCTGTGCGTTCTGGTAATTGTTGTTCCGCAAGGATTGCTGACGGTGATTATCGTAATGATTACGATGATGCTGATACTCCGAAGGCGGGTAATTCGACTGGCGCATGCCAGTATAACCGGATCCCCATGGTCCACGCATATGACTCGAACCGGCGCTGTTGTAACCGCCGTATCCGGATCCCGATCCGGATCCCGATCCCGATCCCGATCCCGATTGGTACTCGCTCCGATAACCTGGAAACAAATGTAGGCGGGCACGTTAGCTATACGCAAGGGGGAAGAGGTCCGCATATATATTTGCGCGTATGGAAATAGCCGAGCGGCAATAAAGGCCCGAAAAGTATATCCGGCTTAGGATTTTAACCCCTTAATAAATATTGCCACGAATTAGTTGCGTCGAGAACGCGTAGTTATTCTCAATAATTAACACGGGGCGCGCAAGGGGGGGTCGGGGGGGAGAGCAAAGGGGGTCGGGCGAGCGCAATATAGCCGCCTAGATGAATAGGAGCGTGCCGGCGCGTGTCCCTAGCTCCCAAATAATATGCAGCGCGCGTTAGGACTCGGTAACGTCACTGGATAAGCACTCGCCCGCGCCGTGAAACGTCATAATAGCGCTACCAGACCCATCATTAATAAGGGATTCTCGAAAGCGCGCTTCGACGAGTGGGCAGAGAGAGCGGGGTAGGCACGCACGGTATCTCAATGCTTATATCGCTTTCGGTTTAAACATTTCCAATATTGCCGTCCTCGAAAACGTCAGATATCCTGGGCCCTCGCGCGCATCTCTCTCGCGAGTCGATATAGAAAAATTGGTAGCGAGATGTAATGATAGCGCTGACAAAAGGACAAAACAGCGCGTCGCCGCGCGCCGATCCGCGACTCCTCCACGTTTAAATATTCATAGCCCTCGAAGAGCCGCGTTTCGAATTGCGAGATGGTCGCTGGCTTTACGGTTGCGCTCAGAGGGGAATCCGGAATAAGAGAAAGCATCGCGTTTGTTTGATGTGTCGCTACGGGCGGGACGTCAAATTTAATTGAATTGATTGCGCGCGCGCACGCGGCGCGTGCATTCTTCAGTTAATTAATATCAAAGCTTACTTTGACGGAACTTTAAGTTGGAACTCGATTATACGATGCGCGGCGTGTAAAATCGGAGGACGACGATAGACGACAATCTTCGGTGTTCGCCCGCGAGAAAAATCGACGCAAGAATCGACCGGAGAACTCGCGGGTTCGAATAAGGAGGCGTCGGGGCTTGGCCCGAGAGAACACTCTGTATTGTCCGGCGATTTCTCGCTCGGTGCTATCGTCGCTTTGTCACCGCGGTACCACGTACTTCGACGCCAGCGGCATTCGCGCGAAGTGGCGTAACTCTTTAACCCCCGGGGATTCAGCGGCCGTTGCGTACAAAGGCTATCACTGACGCACGATAATCGTATAGTTTGGTGCAATCGAGCTCGTAATAGGAGTCGGCAAACACCGTCGATATCATCGAAGGCCGAAGGGGCGATCTCACGCGTTTGAATACCAGTTATAGACTCCTACCGTATCTATGAGGGAGAGAAAGAAAGAGAGACAGAGACGGATAGAGATAGAGAGAGAAAGGGAGAATCTGTTACCCTTTCTCTTCCACCCCGTCGTTTCCTCTCATTCTTTCGTGGCAACAATAACATCCCCCGTAGATTCCATGCGGCCCGCGCCCAACAATTCCGACCCCCAACGGTAATCCTCACCCACAGCCTCCGATAGGGGAAAGGAAGGAGGGTTTAACAGTTTACACGTCGGATCATCCCTCGTTATTGTTGCGTTTATGATAATAACGCACCGTTACAGTCGGCCCGCGCTGGCGTTGCTCGACTCGTTTCAACCCTATCGCGAACCAAATTCATACGTACCGAACTATGTTCCGTATGTACCGAAGTACGTGCTCAGGTAGGTAGGTAATTAGATCTTCGGCATACGGTATATATTCGCCGAAATTTATCGCGTTAATTATTTAAACAATTTTACATTTTCGAAAACTTCTGCAATATTTTTAAATTAATGCTGTAATCTCTATAACGAAAATGTTTTTCAAGTGAAGAAAAACTAAGATCGCAAAGTATAGATAACTTAAGAACAGTTTTATTTTTACGGCGGGAAAGAGAAGGGATTCTTTTCTGGTTATAACGTTTTAGAGAAATAGTTGAAATATTTTTCTTCTCAAGGTATTGTATAAGAGATTCAAAATTAAAGAACTTCCCTCAAACTTCTCTATTAATGTGCTAAACTTCTAAATAAATATAATTACGCGATATATCGCGGAATATTTTGTAGTTCAATTGCCCTTGGAGAGAGATTATTTTTCTATGTACCAAGTAAACATAATTAGTACGTATCCAGGGACAATAAAATCGACGTTTGTCCAAAATAAATCATCGGTGCCACGTACAGCTGAGTGACTGGAGAATCATTAGAAACGGGGGAAAATGGCGTGCGTCCAGTTACGAGAGACGGAACTTCCGCCGGCTCGAGCCGGAGGCTCGAAATTGTATTGGAGGCCAGACGGAAAGGTATCTAGGCTCGAGAAAGAAAGACGATTCGTTCATATATGTACGTATATACGTGGCTACAGTGGGGTACCTACTCGCTATGGGTATTGGATTGGATTGGATTGCCGCGTCAGCAGTACAAACACTCAAAACCTCGATGTGGGTCGGCCTCTCCCGTTCCTGTTTCAAACTGAAATTACACTTTCCCGTCCACCCGTCCACGTTCGACCTGCCACAATATATAGCTACGTTCTCCCCCTTGGCTGCATCTTTTGTTCATATCGAGCTTGTAAATGGTATTCGCGAGTCTATCCCTTATCTCTCGATTCTTCAATGATGGACTTGTCTTTACGTTATCGTTTTCTCTAGCATTTTCTTAATACGAGATAGCTTTATTTTACGATTTCTGTTTCAGTTCACGAGTTTTTGTCTTTTATATAAATAAAGCGATATTTTTATTTCACGATTTCTCGGTGGGATCGAAAAAGAAACGATATTTGGATACATAAAATAAAATTTCAAGTGACTTATTGTTATAGATATAATTAGAAACATTACAATGCCAGATTTTTGAAACGTTTTTCATCATACTATACGCATAGTACTATTTAAAAAATTTGTTTTCAGCCATATTTAAAGTAAATGAACGAGTAACGTGCTGGAAACTTGATATCGCTTTTCATGCAGAAATAAAGTTTAAAGCGTATACATATATTCAAAAAAAGCGAGGGTTTCGGTTAGTGCTTTAACAAGCGAATGCGATACAGATTTATTAATTATGAACTAATTAATTTGCGAAGTACAAAAAGGGTGTATTATTGCTACACGAATTAATTTTGACAAAGCACTAATCTATATTGAGCATCATGAACAAACTGATTTTTCGAGCGGCAACAAAAACGAAAGTATATCCGAAAATATATCCGAATTAGAATCCCTTAATAAATATTGCCATGAATTAGATTGCATTGAGAACGCGTATTCTCAATAATTAATATGCAAGGGAGAAGGGAAAGGGGGACGGACTAAACCTTGACCTCCGTTCTTTTTTTTAGAAATCGCCAACCGTTTTTCTTTTATGTACACATTATTCCTATGAAAGCAATTCTCTCCCGATCTTATATGCTTATGGTGGGTGTAGGTAAATATTGTACAACACGTGTAAGTAAAAGGCGTAGGCTACATAAACGTTCTCTTTCTCTCCACCTTGTCCTCCTTTTATGCATCTCTTATCGATGGGAGACGTGGACAAGTTGGAATTCTTTAATTTTCCATCGTACATGATGGACAAATTATTGAATCATATATTTTTTTAGCTGCGAATTTGTGCCTTATCCTCTGAGAAACGAGAAAATAAAGGTCATGTTATGTTCGATCGTTCAATAGATTTACTTCCTCGTTAATCGGATTTAATCGTGCTGCAATTTCAAATGCGTCTAACTTATAAAAAAGAAAATTATCTAGTCACCAGAGACGGAGTTCGATAGACATATTTTGACGCGAAGGGTGGTTCAGATGCGGGACCAATCGATGCAATCAATCGTCTCAGTCAATTTAAGGGCAATTGCGTGCAGCGTCGTATAAAAACACCTCGCTCGAAATTTATCGAGTTAGAAGGCATCATTGAGGACACTGCAAGTGCGGTGATTACGCTGCTTATAAAATACGTAATAATTATCAACTCTCTAATTTCAAAACTTTCTTTTTTCTCAAAATCCGACCGGCGAGGCTTACATGCAACGCTAAGAAAGTAAAAAGGGTGATGGAAGGGGGGCGAGAGGAGAGAGAGCCCGCATCTACGAGCTACCTGGGCTGCAAGAACAATGCGTACACGTTTCTCCCCCATAAAACTCAGCACCCAATGGTACAAGATGGCGCCACCACCAGGCCAAAGTACCACTCGGGCGATTTCCGGTGGCTTTGTTCCGCCCACCACTCTTGCGGGGCACACGGAGCGGGAGAAGACGAAGGGGAAGGGGGAGGATCGATGGAACCCGCGGCTGAAGGCGCGCCTTTGAGGCCACCACCGCGTGCTCGCGATGCGTGTGTGCAAAATATAAAAAGGCTTTTCCTCTATGAAGCCAGTTAGTCAGCCAGGCAGTAATTTTTTCCCCGCGCTTCTCGACGCATCATCCTCCCGCCCCCCCGTCTCTCTATACCACCCTCCTGCTTCACGATAATATTTTAGCTTTTTCTTCTTCTTCTTCCTCGTTTTCTTCTTTGTCTTCGCCTTCATCTTCATCGTTGTCTTCGTTTTCATCTTCGTCTTCGTCTTTGGCCTCGACTTCGTTTTTCTCTCACGCGTTTTCTCTCCGTTCTTTCGTACAACCATTCGTGCATACTTTTGCACCGCGGAGAAGAAACGAACCGGCTACGACTCCAGGAGCTTCACTTTCTTATTTCTTCTCCATCCCCACTTCCGGTCTCCTTCCAACCGACGGCGGTAATGGAGTCTCTCGAAGGCGGCTCTCCTAGCGCCTCGACGAAACGAAACGGAATGAAACGAAATGAGACGAGACGAGAACCGAGGCAGCATTTATTTTCAACGATTCGCGAGATTCCTCCTCGCTTCCTCTTTATTTCCTCTCTTCTTCTCCCCTCTCTCCTTATACGTTTTCTTGATTTTCGCGAAGAAAGAATGTAAACTCAGCGCGCACATGCGCGTGCTGCTCTTTAGATATTTATTTAGTTTATTACAATGGC